TTACGCGGACGCATTGAAGGTCAATGACCTCTGCGTCGCGGTAATGGCGGAACCCTTTTAGGTCCTAACCGAAGCACAGGCCTCTAAAATCGAGGAGGATATCGAGGGTGCTCTGGATGAGCAAATTTACAAACCGTCCACGATGTCATCCCGTTCACCGGCATTCCGGGGCAAAGCTTTCTGGTCGGAGGGCGTCCTCAAACTCTGGTGCGAGGACGACTATTCGCTAGAATGGCTGCGCCAAACCATCAAGACCATCAGGTCTCCCATCTCGGGAACCGTTTTGACAGTTAAACGTCAAGCCGAGATTCCGAAGAGGGTGAAGGCCTCCATCATTGTGCCACGGTACAAGGGCGAAAACCTCGACCAACTGAGGATGAGGCTGGCCGCCCAGAATCCGTGGTACAATATCAACCAATGGGCCCTGTACCATGCAGTGAAGACGGAAGAGAAGGAAGAGCTATTCATCCTGGTGGGTATCCCCCAGGATGATGTGCCCAAACTTCTCGCGAGGGATCGACGCGTAGCATACAAGCTCGGGTCGATCTATGTCCGCTTCTCGTCGGGGGCAGTCGATCGACCATCAGATCGACCTTCCACGGCAAAACTACCACTGGCCACCACACCTAACCCACCGAGGAAGACCGACGTAGGACTGGGCGTGGGTATGGCCAATAAACCACTGGCTTTGGCACCAACAACATCGGCCTACAACTCGTCACCGGCCCGACAATCCAGCATGGAAGAGGAGGATGCTGACCGTATGGACTGGTGGCTAGAGGGTGAAAAGGCGAATGAAGAGGAAGTGAGAGCGGGCAGCTTGGTCAGTCAAAATGACGACCAAAAACCCAGCCCCTCTCTTTAACATCCTACAATCCAATCTCCAACACAGCCAGACTGCCACGGCAAACCTTCGGCGAGTGTTGGAGACAAACACCAAGACCATAGCCCTCATCCAGGAGCCGTGGATCAGGGGTGAGAGGATCTGTGGTCTATCCAACATTGGAGGCAAATTACTCCTTGATACTACCGTAAGTAAACCACGAACATGCATCTTTATTCCCAAGCATGTGAAAACCGTTTTAATCACCGAGTTCTGTTCCAGGGACCTGACTGCAATCAGGCTCCTCAGTGATACACCTAGCCTACCCGAGGTGATTTTAGCGTCTGCCTACTGTCCGGGCGACGCTGAAATACCCTTGCCGGAGTTCGAAAGGCTGGTGACACACTGCGAGCAAGAGGGACTGGAGCTGATCATCGCCGCTGACTCCAACGCACATCACACACTTTGGGGCAGCCACGACACCAATACCAGAGGTGAGGACTTTTCTAGCTACCTTTTTTCAACAAACTTAAAAATCATCAACAGAGGCTCTGAACCTACTTTTGTAACATCAAGAGCCCAGACAATAATCGACCTAACCCTAACCAGTGAGAAAATTGCCGAATATATCACTGACTGGCACGTATCCGACGAAGCATCTTGCTCGGATCACAGATGGATTAGGTTTTACCTTCATATAAACAATAAACCACCAGACCCTTGACGCATTCCGCGTAAGACTGACCGCAAAAAAATCTTGTCCAGAGGAATATAAACATCCAACGGGAATAGACACGCCCGTGAATAACATAACATCAACGTTAACTGTCTGTTATGAACAATCTTGCCCACTATTACAGCAACGCACAACAAACAAAGGCAAACACAATTGGTGGGGTCCTGAACTGGATAAGTTGCGGCGTAGGGTAAGAAAGATGTTCAACAGAGCAAAAAACACCCGACTTGAATATGACTGGAGTCGCTACAAGGAGGCACAGTCCCGCTACAAAAAGCGCATCCGCTTCAGAAAAGCTGAATGCTGGAAGCGTTTCTGTAGCGATATTCAAGACAACAATCATGCCGCAAGAGTGAGGAAAATCCTGAGTAGTGATCCCGAACGCAATTTAGGTTTCCTCAAAAAGGCTGATAATACCTTCACAAAAACCGACGCTGAAACCTGTGAGCTGCTGATGCAAAAACACTTCCCAGGCTGTAACACTAAGGAACACCAAGAATGGGAAGATGAGATATCTGCAGTTCCGGGATCAGCGGACTGGACAACTGCACGCAAAATGATCAAAATCAACACATTAAAATGGGCCATCAAAATCTTTCTCCCCTTTAAAGCAGCTGGTCTGGATGGCATCTTTCCGGGCCTACTGCAATGGTGTGAAGAATCGATACTCGAGCATCTGCTGCGAATCTATACAGGATGTCTTGCCTATCGGTACATACCCACCAAGTGGAGAGAGGTTAAAGTTATATTCATACCCAAACCGGGCAAAAGTGACTACACGCAACCCAAAGCATTCAGACCGATAAGTCTCACATCATTTCTCCTAAAGGTGCTGGAGAGAATGTGTGACAGGTACTTGAGAGATAATGCTCTAAAGTGAGTACCACTTCATGCCAATCAACACGCCTACAGCATGGGCAAATCCACCGAATCCGCATTACACAGTGTAGTCAGGCAAATAGAACGTGGATTATCACCAAAACAGTCAACGCTGGGAGTCTTCATTGACATTGAAGGCGCCTTTGATAAAACGAACTTTACCAGCATCAGCCAAGCACTTGTGAGACATGGTGTTGACCCCACGACTGCGGGATGGATCAACAACATGCTGAAATACAGAGCAATACAAGTGACGGTGAACACTACGATGTGAGCCGTAGTGACCCGGGGTTGAACACAGGGAGGAGTTTTATCTCCTCTTCTGTGGAACATTGTGGTTGACAAACTAATTTGCCAACTCAATCAGCGCAACTACCACACAGTTGGCTATGCAGACGACCTAGTGATCTTCATAAGTGGGCCATTTCAAAATGTACTGTGCAACTTAATGAGCAACGCTCTCAAGATAGTCGAAAACTGGTGCACTAAGCACCAACTAACGGTGAATCCGACCAAAACAGAGATGGTCATGTTCACGAAGAAACGTAACTTGGATGCCATGAAATTGCCCAAGTTATTTAACACCGAACTATCTATGTCGAACGAGGTCAAATATCTAGGCATAGTTCTTGACCATAAGCTTACATGGAATAGTCACTTAGACCAAAAGATAAACAAAGCCTGTATTACATTTTGGCAGTGCAAAAGGCTACTTGGCAAAAACTGGGGTCTTGCACCAAAAATCACAAAATGGCTTTACACAACCATAATCAGACCACTCATCATCTACGGTGCAATAGTTTGGTGGCCTAGAACCGAAATCAACACCGCAATAAATAAACTGCAGCGTTTTCAAAGATTAGCATGTTCTGCTATAACAGGCTGCATGAAATCCACACCCACAAACACCCTAGAAATAGCGCTTGGCCTTCCGCCACTCGATCTGTTTATACAACAGGAAGCAACCATGGCAGCGCTAAGAATGTATCATCTGGGCTTGTGGACGGAAAACCAGGGACCTCACTCCAAAATCTTGGAAAGGGCTATACAATACCAACCTCTTGTAATAGCCCGCTGTGACAAAATCCCGACTACTCTTACATTTGATAAGAAATATCAAATAGAACTACTAGAAACCAACAAGGACTGGTCAGGCACAGACGAACTACGCATATACACTGATGGATCCAAAATACCTGGATCCGGATCAGGCGCAGGAGTCTTCTCACTGGACCTTAACATACATATATCAACAGCACTGGGTAATCACAGCTCAATATTCCAATGCGAATGTATAGCTATTACTCAGGCCGCCACCGCTGTTATTAACAGGAAAGTCACAAACTACAAGATACGTATATTATCTGATAGTATGGCTGTCCTAAGAGCCCTAGATAGCAACAGCAAAACTTCTGGGCTAATACACGAATGTCACCTAGCATTGGAGCGCATAGCAACAGATAACAAGGTTACCCTCCAATGGATCAAGGGACATAGTGGCTCTATGGGTAATGACGCGGCCGACGAACTAGCTAGAAGGGGATCATCACAAAGAGTGAAAGGCCCTGAGCCACTTCTACCATTACCCTTCAATCAAGTTCGTACATGGGTGCGTCAAAGAACCATACAGAGCCATAACAGCCGATGGGCTAGTACCGAGGGTTGCAGGCAATCTAAGGATATTTTTCCTAGCCTTAACCCTAGCATAACTAAAAAACTACTAAATCTTAACCGAAATGACCTCCGAGTAATGCTGGGCACCATAACAGGGCACTGCCTACTTAACAAGCATCTACTAACCATACGTGTTACAGATAGCTCTCTATGCAGAGGATGTCTGGAAGTAGATGAAACGGCCGCACATGTGATCCTGGAATGCATGAGCGTAGCAGAACACCGGGCATCAATCCTCAGGAAGCCGAGGACGCTCCTAGAAGCCTGTGAGAGTCCCAGGGGACTACTGCGCTTCTGGAAGGAGCTGGGCTGGCTGAGCTAGCTAGCCCAATATACCCTGCACGCACAATGGACCAAATACGGAGTCTACGTGCGGAAACGGGGGCCCACAACAAGTAACAAGTATAACCATTAAACAAATGACTTATTTTAAAAAAAGTATTCCTAATTTTTAAAATGTCAATTATTTGAACTTATAATTCTTAACGAAAAAAGAAAAAAATGGCCTCGAAATAGTCAGTACGGCAGAGCGGCAATTTCATCAGTCAAGACCTATGTTTAAGAATGAATACACAACCACGACATGACGAATATTGGTTGAACTGTATTTTCTGGGCCCACGAGTTGATACTTCACACTAGGTTAGGCGTAAGCATCTAATAGTCTGTGTCTGTGAGGTTAGGTTAGGTTATTGTTGTGGCTATAACGAAAACTACGACAAGAGACATTTTGAAAACTAAAAAAAATGAAGTGGCGTCACCCGGAAAGAACTGTTTCACTCTAATATTTGTGCTATTATAACACAAATAAATGACCCTACCGTGATTTGAACCTAAGATCATTGGAACAGAAGGCGGTGCCATAAATAGTCAAAATGTTAAAAATTACCTTCATTCAATTTGTGTTGACCTTCTAAAACCTTTACTTCGTTGTTTCTGAAAGTTCCACTTTGTTTTGTTTCTATCAGAGAAGTCACCAATGTTAATAAAAATATCAATTTTGCTATATTATACCACATGGTTATAGAATACACACAAACAACACAACCGACAAGTGTTTTACGCATAAAATAATACTTATTTATATATTAATTTCTACAAAAGATAAGTGGGTTAGTTAAGAAACCAGTCTGTTTTTGTTTTTAAATGGGTTGTTGTATTCATCATTATCCATTTTATTTAGGTATAAATTAGAATTGGCTACTGTTTCCACTACTCTGCCAAATTTACTACATTCGTACATACTTTGAAAGTTTTTTGTTTTAATTGTTTTTTCAAGGTTGTTGTCGTAACAGGGTCTGTGGATGAAACTGGAAAGTAGCCATAGGTCCTCGAAATTAAACGACGTAACCGCATCGGGTATGCTCTCGTTTGATTATTCTTGATAAATACTTGATCCTAAATAATATCCATATGCAACCTTTAAGATTTTAACCTATGGAGGGATGGACCGTTTATGTCATATTATTGTGGGAACAACATGATTAAAAATATACTTATAAACAAGAAAATGACGCGAAATGCAGTAAATTCCGAATCATGAATATTAAAAAGTTAAAAATTCAGTTAAATAAAAAAATCTTGTTTTAAAATATAATCAAATTTGGTTGACCTGTTGCTACATTATGACGTCTTTCTCTGCCAAAAGAAGGACCATAAGTAATAACTTTGCATGGTTTGACACGACTAACCATGGTTTGAAATGTCCTTCTTTGGACCTTAAGTAATAATTAAGTTATTACTTAAGGTCCTTTTCTTTTAGCATACTATCAAAATATGTTTTTTTACTGCATAGGTAGGTACTCAGATTATGCTCTTTACTTTAATTTTCTGTAGAACTTCTAGTGATAAACTTCAACTCTTATAATCAGCTAGCTATTCCGTGAAAAGTAAATACTTATATAATATAAGGTCAGTAAGGTTATCATTTTAAGTGGTATATAACGTCTGACTAAACAATAACAAATACGTATGTAATGCCAGACTTCGCTTGGCTATTCGTATTTGGTATTTGTAAACTTGACATCAGTCTATCCCTTTCATTCCTAATAAAGCATGATAAGGATTGTACAGCGAAAACCCATTAAATAAAAATTAGTTGGTAATACAAATCAACTCAATTTTTTCATTTCCGAATAGTCGATTTTAGATTATCAACTAATTTCGATTTAATAGGTTTTTTCTGTAGACGCACTGTTGACAACTTTACTTATAGCAAATACGAATGGGCAAGTGAAGTGACGGCATAAATATAAGAAGGTATAAATGATTGGTTAATTACCCTGGTCAAAAAATCTATTAGCCATTTGGTCAAATAGTACTCGTAATACAGTACCCCTAGCACTAACCATTATCGATTCGAATAGTTTGCAAACCGAAATGTCAATGTCAAATTTTGTATCGAAACTTGAACAGCAGCAGCACAAAGTACGTAACGAGAACTTAAAATCAGTACACATTTGACCATGACATTTCGGACTCGCAAACGTTACGAATTCGATATTGGTTCGTGCTAAGGGTACAGAAGTCAGCAGCTGCAGCCAACATATTTTAAGACTTACCTACATAGACCAGCTTTAAAAATTAAGGGGATATAATGTTTGTTGTTGATAAATATGTATATATGTCACTGGCAATCTGTATGATTCAGGTATTCTATACAATACCTAGGTAATATATATGTTATGGCCCAAGTGATTAATGCGGGCAGTATTCATAATGCCCAGTCATATCGGGCCAAGTGATTAATTACAATCTAAACTCACGTAATTATCACATTGCCCGGCCATTATTAATAATGCCCGACGGCTCGTGGTCCATGTAATAAGTCAGTGTTTGAGATAGCATGAATTTATCGCTTGGACCAGTATGAATAAATTCAAAACGTTGGTACTATTGTCAAAATGACAGATGTCTCGCCTTTTGTGTTTGTTTTGAGATCTTGGTAAATAAAATATAGTAATAAAAAACACTTAGAAAAAAAAGGTGTTTGTGGCTTTACAACAGTCTTTAATTCAGAACCGACTTGGTCAACCCCGACACGCCGTGGTCTTGGTTTGCCCTACCTCTAGAGTGTTTTTAGAGCCTGAAAATTATTTTGTTGAAATACCTGATTTGAGAAATCAAATAAAAAATATAACTAGAAAAAAATCCACGCGAACCAGGCAGCAGACGGGACTCGAACCCGCACCCTTCGCTATTCGGCGAATGCACTGACCAATTAAGCGAAGGCCGCGTCGAAATTCTTCTAGCCATTCTTAAGCTGCAAGGCAGCGCCATCTCTTCGCGTTATAGGTAACCCACAATGTCTAATGAATACTTTTACAAGTATTAAACATTTGAAAGAAGAAATAGCAATTATAGTTACAATTTTTATTTTTTAAGCCTGTACCTGCTTGATGATTAAATCTAAAGAAAATATAACTAGAAAAAAAAGAATGGTCCACATGGATTTTTTTTAGTTATATTTTCTTTAGATTTAATCATCAAGCAGGAACATGCTTAAAAAATAAAAATTATAAATAAAATAAAACTATCTAAAGAAAACCCTTATCCCTAAACTTCATTATTATTCTGAAAGTTGATACAGTTTTTATTACCACACCCGCGTCGTAACACATAGATTTTAATCTTAAAATACACTAACGTATGCAACGTCACCCGCCGTTTCATTCCACTGAATGGGCAGTCCCATGATTTGTATTTAGATAAAAGGTTTAACGCTGCTTTTTCACTAGAGTTAGGTATGCGTGTTTTCCCATGCGAACTTGGATCTAAATATGTGGAGGTCCACACCAAAACGTAACATTTGACATGTAGTTCAGAAAATAAATTGAGTATGCAATGAAATTTTCATACAAAAAAAAAAGAAACCGCAGACAGTCTAATCCCCATATTTAGGATGACTTGATGAACTATATTCGAGGTAGCGATGCCAATGAAAACATTCTACCTACCTACCCTAGTAAAAATTGTGGCTGTCTGATGAGTAATCCCTTTTGCGTGGAAGGGGTCGAAAAAGCAAAGGCGTGTTATTACGAAATCCAGTACAACATAATATCATCCGTTTGGATTATATAATATATTACGTCATTACATAGTGTTTTAATGTTGTCAATGAGCTGTTTCAGAATCTTTTATAGAGGTTTTACGGGTGTACATATAAAACTTTTTATTTTAATTCTCGTATACTGTTTTTCCGCGTTCTGTTCACTTATCGCCAAGGCCTAGTGGAAAAGCAACCTAAAGTTAGCTCGGGCAAGAGGCTTATAAGGGACGCATATCGCATAAATTAAGAGTAAGTCTTTTCATATAGTAAATTCTGAAAAGAATAGGCCTCAATTAATTTCTGTAAAACAATGAATGTTAATATGTGTAGTCAAGCTCAGGATGTTCTCATATATTTCACTACACATATTTTATTTTTATTCCTATTTATTAAAATATTTTACCCGCCTGCAAAAATCCAACCACATTTCTTTATTATTTTTTGTTTTAAACTGAGTACAACTATTGTTTTAAATTAAGGAGCTCGATGGCTCAAGTGGTTAGCGCGTTTGGCTGCCATCGTTGAAGTTAAAGCAACTTTCGCAGTGGTCGGTCATTGGGTGGGTGACCAAAGATTTACTATCTCGAGCTCTTAACGTGCCTTCTGAGGCACGGAGGAGCAGTTGGTCCCGGCTGCATCTGCAGTCGTTAGCACCCACGAATGAGCATTGGGCGTGGTGGATCACGACCCAATCTCCCTATTCGATCCATAGGGAAGGCCTGGACCCCAACAGTGGGGACATTTATTTATTCTTTATTGCATGCCACAGATAGTACAAAAACAATACAAACACGTGACACCCTGCAAGGGCGTTGCAATTTTACTTCAATTATTATTATTATTTAAATAAACTATCAAATATATTATAAAAAATTGTGTGTCAGCTCCGACGCACGACTGGAGTTTACGTCTTAAGTTCGATAGTCTAACCAGACGCAGAAAGAGTTTATTTAACTTAAAAAAAATTGATACTGTATGAAAGGGTAAATTAATGAAAATAATATACAGATATAAATATATATTTATTCATTTCATATACATTTATTATAACTAATCGATGAAATATTTTACATTAAACTTTTTACAATAGTCAATTTCAGATGTGCATAAATAAAGGTACGCTACGATACTGTGCTACGGTATAGCACTACGGCTGCTACAGCGTAGACAGTAAAAACGTAACGAGGTCATTCATCGATAGATTTCACTCCTCACATTTTTCTCATACCGGGCCCCTTATATATTAAAATCGATTCTTAAGGAGTAAACTCCAAAAAAATCAATTCAATTATTATACATGTATCTAACTAAAATTAATAGGCTGACGATGATGATGACAGTTTTAATAAGAAAATAGACTTTTTCTATTGCACAAAAAAGTCGGATCTCATTTATTGTGTGCAATCAAACCATGAATATTAGAAGGAAATGTAGGTATGCACAAGGTATGCATTCTTAAACTACCTATCCGTTTGCATGTTGGCCGTCGATGAGCGTTACAAAATCTGTTTCAGGCCAATCACAGGCACATCAACTGGTCCCGTCGACCAATAGGGTCGACTAATAGTCTATTTCTAAGGTAGTCCACTGGTTTAACGTTAATAATTTACTGCTAAATGAAGGGAAAACTAAGTGTTTGAAATTTGTTTTACCTAATGTTAAACAGGTAAAAACGAATGTAAATATAAAGGATCGAAATGTGAGCCTTGTAGATACCACAGTGTTCTTAGGAATCACACTAGATTCAAAGTTGCAATGGGGCCCACATATTGATAAATTGTCGAAGAGACTTAGCTCTGCAGCATATGCTGTAATGAAAATACGTCAGTTAACGGATATAGAAACTGCCAGATTAGTCTATTTTAGTTATTTTCATAGTGTAATGTCTTACGGTATTTTACTGTGGGGAAATGCCGCCGATATTCAAACAATATTTGTGTTGCAGAAGCGGGCTATTCGATCAATTTATAATCTTAAAGTTAAGGACTCTTTAAGAAATAAGTTTAAAGAAATAGGCATAATGACGGTTGCATCACAATACATATATGAAAACTTAGTATATGTCAAAAAAAATATTAGTTTATTTACTAAAAATAGTGAAATACATACACTTAATACTAGAAGTAAAAATAAGTTAACTTTACCTGCTACTAGGCTCCACAAAATTAATAACTCGTTTAGA